AGGTCCGCGCTCGCCGCGCGGGCGGGCCGGCCTTTCGTCGCGGGCGCCCTGCCTTGGACCTCGGGCGGCTGGTTTCCGGGCGCGGCCCTGCCGCCGTGGGTGCTCAGGGGGGCTTCGGGCACGAGCAGGGAAGACTCGGGTGTAGGGTGCCTCTAGCACTTGGAAAGTCTCCTTGCCGAGCTTTTTCCAGGTTGCGTGATATGGTGCAAACCGCAGTGCCTTTGGGGTCGGACATGTAAACCAATCCTCTTCACATCCGCAGTTTAAAGGAGAAAGTGGAGGCGGGGAGAGGTCAGATTCTTTGACGGTAGTTACTATGTGTACAAGATTAAGACTGAGCCTGAAGTCTTAGTACCCCGATTGCAAGCATGCGTGCTACAGCTATTTTGCTCACCAGTTTAGCCTTTTCTTTAGATTTGTTCCTTTCAAATTATTTCGAGAATCAGAAATTTTAAGAGTTACTTCTTATCTGTAGGATTACAGTTTCTTATCAAAAATGTCTACAGTAAATTATGCTGAGACTCTTTTAACCGTATAAAATAGCATCCCCTATATAACCATATAAAGTAGCATCCCCTTAAACCCTACAGTTTGTTTTTATGTTGACCACTTAAATACTATTCTATTCACGGTTTCTTGCTTTTAGTTGGACATAAGGACTCTATCGCCAATGATAAAGTACGTACTTAGGTGGGCAAGATTTATTCAACAAAAATTCATTGTACACTGATTATGGCCAAGCCACTCCTCTGGTGCAAAGACAGTATTTTCTATTAATCCGTGAGACCCAATTTTGGTAGTTTGCTCTACATATTTCTGAAATGTTTACTGCCAATAATCAGGCAAATTAAATCGTTTTTTAAAATTCAGTAGCTATGTGGAGGTTTTTGAAGAGTAAAGATGTCTTGTTATGTAAATAATTGGATTCCCTCATGTAATTAGATCTTATGGTAACCCGTGAAAGATAGGAGACCATAAATCTAGTTCTGGCCACTATTTTAATTTGGGTGGAAAGTGGACAAATCCTTTGATTTTAGTTGCTTCATCTGTGAAATGAGATCTCATTTATGTGAACTCTAAGGCCTTTCTCTAGCACATAACATTTCTATTACTCTGCATTCAGGATTCATATATCAAGTTTAATCATTAAAGTACTGTACAACTTATATTTAAAATAAATATTAGCTTGTTTGCACTAACTTTCCAGTTTGCTTTAGGCACATCAGTCACTTTGTTATTATTAACAAATAATAACAGTAATAATAAATTTACAACAATAAATTTATGCCCTTCTGGTTTTTTTAAGAACAGGAACGGAGGGTTTTTGTAGCATCTAAACTTATAGTTTGGTGCTCCGCCCCCCCCCCAAAAAAAAAAAGTCTAATGTGCAGGTTATTTAGAGTATTAAATGATATACTGGTATGTAGGATCTGGTGCAAGATAGGTGGTCATCTTTGTAATTCCCTTCCTTTGCATCTCATCTTGATTTTATGTTTATATGTAGTTGCATTAGAACTAGGAAGGACGGGCCGGCCCGGTGGCGCACTGCTATAGTGCGCCGCTTGGGAAGTGTGGCGGCGCTCCCGCCGAGGGTTCGGATCCCACATGCAGACCGGTTCCCGCTCACTGGCTGAGCGAGACGCGGGAGCGGCACCGAGGGTTGCGATCCCGTTGCTGGTCCCGGTCCGGTTTCTAGGGCGGCGCTGAGGGTTGCGATCCATTGCTGGACACAGAAAAAGACAAAAAAAAAAAAAAAAAAGAACTAGGAAGGATGGTAAAGGTCCCCATATGGATCAGCCCCTTCAAGATATGGAAAAATACTGAGGTGTAAAAAATTGACTTACTCAAGGCCAAACAGCTTTTCATACATGTAAAATGAGGGATAAATAGTCTTGAAAGATCCTGCCAGCTCTCTATATAAATTCAATTCTGTGGAGTATTTTGGAAGTCTACTGTGTGCTAAGCATTGTGGAAATGCAAAGCAGGTTGTGTTGGTAACTTTGTTCTTATTAATTGAAGATGTCTAATTCTTTATACATCATAGTTGCTTTTTTAGGCTCGTCATAAAATATTAGACTTTTTTTTTTTTTTTTTGAGACCGGCCGCACCGCGCTCAGCCAGTGAGCTGGTGACCGGCCATCCCCATATAGGATCCAAACCCCAGGCGGGAGCGCTGCTGCGCTCCCAGCGCCGCACTCTCCCGAGTGTGCCACGGGCTCGGCCCGTTAGACTTATTTTTTATCCTGATAGAATTATGTAAATTGAAAGCTATGAAATTTATTTTTCACTTTTATGATAACCACATTAGGAAAAGGAGAGTGATCTCTTGTGCCTGGGCTGCTTAACATACAAGTGTTCTTTGGATTAAGCTCAGTATATTTTAAAGGAACCAACAGTAGCCTTTCACTGTGGTATTTAGTTTTAGACAAGGGTTTTCTGAATATGGAGCCTTTGGGTGGGTTTGCTGATAATTAAAGTTGTATATATTCAAGTATGTGTTTATCAGGATCTCAGAAAGATTTTTGATAGCCCAGTAGCTGTATTGTTAAAGCAAGAACATTTGAAACAGACCAGTACTGGGCATGAGGTCTGGGCATCATGTTCACATGCATAACTCGTGCTTTCTTTAAGACACCCTTTGGTCCCATTATGCTTTTGCCAGAGTTAATATTCAGAGTTTGTAAAGTCATTGGTTTGGTTAATTGAGTTATGGAGGCATTATCATGGCAGCCTGCAAAAAGGATGTAAATATAACTTAATTTTAGCTGTATCTCTGATAACACTATATCCGTAGATAGAGACATAAACAATATGAAATGTACTTTTAAATACTTTGATCAAATTATACATTATCTAGTTATTGTATCAACTGCATAAGTCTACCAAGAGGCACTTGTAATGAAAAAAATGTCAGTTTCACTTAAGAATGTTCCAGAAGCAATAAAAATTACTAATTTTAATAAATCTGGACTTCAGGATCAGGTACTAATCTCTGGAGACTTTAGTAAAAGAGATCAGAAAAAGAAGAACCAGCATAGAACTTAGAAGGAGTGACTAAGAAAATGTAGTGTCCTGAAATCCAGATGAAGCAAATATACAGTATCTAGGAAGGAGTGAGTGATGAACTATCAGATGTTATTGTCATTTAAGATGATGTTTGAGAGCTGTTAACCATTGAATGTAACAACTGGGGACCTTTGGTGGCTTTGATAAATAGGGCAGTTAAGAAAAAGCCTGATCAGAGTGGAGCGAAATTGGAGACAACAAATTGACAGCTTTTAGATTTGCTGCAAAGGGGAACAAAGAAAATAGTAGTTCATGGGGGAAATTTACCTTTATTTTGACCTACCACAGTTCCTCAGCATATTTTTTTTTTTTTTCCTTTTTATCTTTTTTACTGACCGGTAACGGGATCGCAACCCTCGGTGTCACGCCCGTACTGGGGACCGGCAACAGAATCGCAACCCTCGGTGTTGCGCCCGCACCGCGCTCAGCCAGTGAGCAGGAACCGGTCTCCACATGGGATCCGAACCCTCGGCAGGAGCGCCGCTGTGCTCGCAAGCGGCATACTCTCCAGTGCGCCACCGGGCCAGCCCGAGCATATTTTGTTTTTATAATGGATTTTTTTAGTCCTCAGTCTAATGTCTTATTGTTTACCTTAAATTAAAGTGAAGACTGTACAACTGCATCTTGGGCTGTGTAGCAGAGCTTCCTTCCTTGCTTCTGTGTTTATATAAGTTGTTGGCTGATATTTTCTGTTTTTTAGTATTATTAATCTTGATTTTGCTTTAGCATTCAAAATAATAACAACCTGTTAATTTTTCCTGCATCAGAAACCCTATATGAGGGTACTCCAAAAAGTTAAGGGAAAAATGCAATTAAAAGATAATATGCCTCTTTCAGTGAATTTTTGAAGATCCCTTTTATGTACCTAAAAAAAAATACCTTTTTTTCCTCAACTATTCATATCTGTCTGACTTTTCATAAGTGAGTCTATCAAGTATTTCGAAAATGTCCTTCACCATTTCAATAACTTCTGTTGTTTCT